GAGGAGTAGTAGGAAGACATGGCTGTGGTCTCGATGTGTGTGTGTTGGGGCCTGTGTGTGTTGAGAAGATGACCAAATGTTTTTGGCGTGAAGAGTGGGAAGTATAACAAAGGAGTTCTTGACTTGGAGGCACAAGCAACAAGTAGTGATGTGAATATTGGTGTTGACGGATGTGAAGAATTCTTGAGAAGAATTGATGAAAGATGTGTTGAGGAAAGGATTTTTGTGATGTCGGTGGGAATTTCCTGGGGTCTGAGTGTGTGTGTGAGTGAGTGAGGAGGGACAAATGGAGGGTTGGAAAGAAAGAAAACTCGGGTCAACGGCCTGCCCGTTAGGCAGCCAAGGGCGTCTAGAGAAGGCGCGTTTGGTATTCCTCGTCGTTCCTACCCTTCTCAAAGCAGAAACAAAGGGATGATGGGAGGAAAGAACGATGGCCCAGTAGGGCACCTGAGCAGCCACTCAGCTTGAGACCGAAGCATCGCATGATTCATTCGCTTGATCAATCACTCCAATAACACCACATTGTAACTACACAGTAGAACAAGAATAGGCAGTCCCATGGACTCATCTTTAGAGTTTTGCAGTTACTTAGTACTCAGTGATTTTCTTAGTACCTTATCCGCACATGCTAGACGGCCAATATTATATGTCAAAGATAAGACACACGTGAAGTTTGATGTATTACCTTGGTACACGCGTCCGGCGAGTGACCTGATGCATTTTGACCGTGAACAAGATATCTGCCATCGATTACGACTTCTCAATAAGTAGCTACCCATCTAGGTAGTGTGTCGATGAGCTCAAGTGGCTGCTAGACTTAGGAGAACCTGCAAGCAGGATACGCCAACTACTTGCCATTTACCTGGATGGTACTGACGAGTCCCTGAGGCATGAACATTTACCTCCGAAACAGCTCAAGTCAGCAAGGTGCCCCCCAAGCGAAGAACGTTCCTATGCATTGGGAAGTGACTTCGCAAAGCTGGCCTGGCGGCTCTCTCAAAACGCAACCTTGCTTATGCTGCTACCTTCTTCTATCATCACTGACTATCGTTCTGCGTCTACCACCTAACGGTTTCTTCACTTCCAGGGTCGTGGACTTCCGCATCGACATATGATAAGGAGCCCATACAGGATTTAATTCGATGCTGAACAGTGTATCTTCAGAGTCAGCCTAAAGCTGGTGCGCAGGATCCCCTTCCGATATAATGAAGCTTCTTTTGAGAGACAAGCACATACGACCACACCCATCAGAAAATTCGGGATCCCGTCCGCTCTCCCATAGACAAGCTGATGAGGGCCAGATTAGTAGTTGAGTCGGTGACGATCAGCGAATACCTGGTGTTGTATGTTTTTGTTTTTTCAAATGGCCGGTCACGACCGTTGTAGTTTTGCGGTCGTATTCCATGTCGTCAGCCGCCACCCGGAGCCACCTCCGATAGGGAAAAGAAAAAAAAAAACCTACCGGCGCTGTGGAACCCCGGCAGTCAGACGCATAAAGCTTGTACACTTCCGGCTCTCACAAAAAAAAAAAAACGGCTTATGCACTCATTTCACATGGTCCGGTACTGTTCACATGGAGCGTGTTCCGTTCGGCAAGATACTCTGTTGTCCGGTGGACGGCAGTGGATGCCCTCGTCTCCATTCGGTAATGTACACCGCTGCATCCGCCGTCTTACTCGACGTGGGGTTCCATTCGGTCAGTCTTCCATCGTCCACGGGATCGTGAAGGAACAGAAAATCGAGAAGAACTATTCCACAGCTTCCAGAAGCGGAATCGAATCTCCACGCCTGGCAGGGCGCTAGACTTTGCAGGGCATGGAGCTACTGCAACAGCGGCCTCTAATTCTCAGTTCAGGGCCTTGTCTCAACGAAATTTCGAAGCGAGGCGAGCGCGGGGACTCTTTCCTACCGTTCACGAGATGGATGAGGAGAGGGGAGGGGGTGTTGGAATATGATACCTATGTTCTGCTCATCTCGCGTGAAGCTTTCCAAGGGTCCAACAGGTGGCCCTACACTAAAACGAAACAGCCTTTTTGAACCGCGGTAGAGGGATCGTCGAGGATTCCAATACATCTGCGTCGTTGCCACGGGCACCTTTCATATTGCGGCATCCGGACTAGGAAAAAGAGCTTCTGCCCGGCCACGCGGCGGCTCCGGATCGGCGGTTTCCCAACTTCGTGGGACGAGATGAACCGGATGCTTCCCAACCACCCGCGGCGGCCCTCCCACCCCAGTCCCACTCTGAATCCCACCAGCATCCTTCCAATGCCTGGGCGTGTGTGTCTTCAAGGGTGGTGGTTGGTCCAGTTGCAATAGCAGTAATTAACGGAATCGTGCAAGAAAGAGGATGGGAAAATTTCCGTTGCCCAGAGATGAGGGTGATGAGAGATGGAGCAATCTGTAACCACCTCACAGGACCCCCGGGAGGATACCTATGCAACAACGGAGATGCACAGCGTCAGAACTCTAGGTCCGCACAGGTGCATCGGCAGCACGACATCGTGATCTCCGCGCCCACCCCGAGTCAGCACAAGGATGAGCGAAGCGTGGCTTTCTGGGAAATAGATGTCCATACGGAGTATATCCACCGATCACGAGATCACGTTCTGATCAGTCACAAGTTATTGCAAGACCCCTCCGAAATTGGCACAACGCCATTGTCCCTACGAGTCTCGTGTAGAAGCCAAGAACTAGCGAAACGAGAGTGCCTGGCCTACAACACCCCATCCGCTGGATGAAGAGTTAGAGAAGTGATCGCTAAGTCATCCTCCATAATATGAGGTCCCGCGGCAGCAGAACAGGCGGGAAGCATCCTGGCACAAGGTAGGCTATCAGACAAGGCGGGACAGAGTAGCCCGAGAGGAGTGATTCGCTTCGCAACGCAACCACGGATGAACTTGAGACGACATGGGGCCCGGGCAAGGAACCCGCGGCCCAGAGCTTCTGGAAGAAGTCTGTTGCGCGTCGCATGGTATGCGTATCCTTATGGATCATGCAGCGCAGCAGGTCCGGAGGTCTGCCTTGCCCTTTCCACGAGACAATTCGCACGTCCCTCCCCTCCCTCCCCTCATGGTCGTGGACGGGACAGAGGGGATTAGAATAAGGGGGGTGGTTAGTGGAAACACGGGCGACAGATTGTATCACGACGAAAATCCCACGAGGGGTCCCTGAAAATGGGCCAATGCTCTGTTCTTTTCGAGGAAGCGGGAAACCAATCCTAACCCCCCCCCCCCCCAACCCCTTGTCTGGCAATATTCGAGGGCACATTAACGGCCCCCAAGTAAAATCATCGAAAACGAGCTCGGAACAAGAAACACTCTATGCGGAGCCAAAGCCCCGCGCTTGTGCGTGTGACGGGATTGTCCATCATCTCTCTGGCTCCATGCCTCGAAGTTGGCCATGATAATGCGGCCATGCAGTGCTTTCCCAAGCCCAGCTGAGCATGGTTGTCGATTCGATACCTTCTACCAAAAGACGCTGTGCCACAAATCCAGATTGGCCCGAATCTTTGGGGGCGTTAAGAGGGACCGGAAACCCGGCCAAACCTTGGCCAAATTCATGCCCGTCAGCAAAAGCGTCGGTGACATTGCAGCCGCACGGCTTGCATTTTGCATTGCATGGGCCGCCGCCCAGCCAATCTGCCAGACATAGGTATCGACTATTGCCAATTGGCATTGCCCATTTGGCGGGGTATGTTGGCCAAAATGCCAAAACGCAGCCCGTCCCAAGAGACCGGCGGACGGCGCAGGCTTTGCATTCCTTGGGATCCTGATCCCCCTCCTCCTCCAAGGGTCCGACCCTGAAGAGAAGCATAAAGCTGTGCAGCATTGAACGCTACCATGGCCGGCGATTGAAGGTGACCATGTCCATGCTCTCTCCTTGCCAGGCCGAAGCATACAGGTGACAGAAGAGCCCAGTCTCGCAGTTACGAATCCACCACGAGATGATCGCCCTCCTTCGTCTTCCTGCCTGCCTGATGGGTTCACTGGTGTGAACTTGTGAAGTATCTGTCAGGCTGAAAGACGACCTAAAGGCAAGGCGAAAGGGTGCATCTTGCAGGCGAGAAAGGGGTCGTGGAGTCCATACGATGGGGGCGCTCTAGTACTAGTGGAGAGATTGTCTTACCTTAGTCAACGTGTTGAAGATGTTGCCGCGGCGGCGGCGGCGATGGCGCCAACGGAGGAGGGGAAGGCCAGTGAACCCGTTCACTAGGTCAGTAACTTACTCATACAGGCGCTCATCTTCCTGGCGACTTGGCCCATTGAGATTTACTTCATCTCACAATGCAGCCAGTGGGCGGGCGGGTTTCTCTCGCCCAGCAAAGTTTTGGGCTTGGATGGGATTATTGCGTCTGGGCTGGCACGGACACTCATTACTGGGAAACTTGGGCAAAAGGGCGATTATTCTCCACTAGCTGTCATTCCAAATGGACGCCGGCCGTCGAACCGCGGATGTGCCGGTTGGTCGTCCGGTCCCATGTCTTTGCAAAGTTCGAACCAGGTCCCCTGGCTATGTACCTCTTTTTCTTCATCGTCTTTTTCTTCACGGAGGAATTCACTGTGAGAGTTTCTTTCCCCATATGTTTTCACTAGGCAATCAAGGGCCCTTGGTGGGAAAAAGATACAGGCACTGGGATGAGGACTGGGATATGAGTCGTGACAGGCTCCGTGCGGAAAGGCTACCTACAGGCTGTAGTACCTGGAGGTTGGGAACCAGTCAGTCCGGCTTGTAACCTGACCACTACCTGTGGGAACGGGAAGAAGGGGAGGGGGGAAACGCTCCGATCCATCAGTGAAGACGGTGGATCGTTTCACGGAATTTCTTCACCGTCTGGCGCGGATGGAGAAAACTGACCGGTCGATGGAACCCTCGGGCTCGGGCCTACGAATACCTTAGTGTGAATGACACAAAATGAAGCGACGTTGACTGTGATGATGTACAAGTATGAAGCGCATGCACTTAACCGGGGTCAACCACCCTGGTTCATATTTATGCAGAGGCTCTGGATATCTCTTTAGATTACTCATGCTACTACCGGGTACAATCCAACGACGACTGATGCCCACCAAGCAGTTGTTGGAATGGATGATTAATTCTTGTGAATCATCTATGTGCGGGACGTTCGAAAAGAACCCTATGTACGGACGACTATACATACCTCTCTCTCTCTCTAACCAGCCGAGTACCAAATCAAGTACCCAACTCCAAGCCTGAGTAATAAACCTCAGAGATGAATGCAATGTAGTTCCAAAATACCGATCCCTCCCCAACGCCTCTCTTGAATTTTTGATTTTCTGTATACCCCATTTCCGGCCTTTCTCTGGATAGTTGCGTGAGCATCTTTGGATCGTCTAGTTTCCCCCCTCATGAGCCGCGTTGTGGATGCTGCAAGCCGTTTCGTCAGTCAACATTTCTCATAGTGCATGTTCAATATACATACCCAATGTCCGCAGGGTTTCCCGGGGACTGCGGGTCAGCTCGTGTCCGGGCCGCCAAGCCATTGGTCTTGGCGATTTTAGCAGCAGGAGTTTCCGCAGAGTCCGCGGGCCCGGTATTCACGGGGCCGCTGCTGGCAACAAGCGCCTTACGCTTTCTGCCGCTGTTGCGGGCATCATCGAGCTGCTCCAGGTAGGCCTCAGAAACGGGGGTGACATAGCAACCGCTGAAAACGCCGATCTCGAAAGTCTGCGTCTTGGGGTCACGAGGAGACAACTCAGCGCATGAGGCCACGAGATCCTCGACCGTCTGGTAGATGATGTCATCAGCACCGATTTGCTCGGCAATTTCGGCGTTGCTGCGTCCATGAGCAATCAGATCCTTTTGCGATGCCAAGTCAATGCCGTGGACGTGGGGGTGGATGACCTCGGGCGAGCACGAGCTGAAGATGACCTTGCGAGCTCCCGCCTCACGCGCCATGGTGACGATCTCTCGGCTAGTCGTTCCGCGAACCACCGAGTCGTCAACAAGAAGCACAGTCTTGCCCTTGAACTCGGAATCAATGGTGCTGAGCTTGCGGCGAACGCTCTTTTGCCGCATCTGCTGTCCAGGCATGATGAAAGTTCTGAAGACGTAACGGTTCTTGACGAAACCCATGGAGTAGGGCTTCCTGAGGCGCTCCGCCAAGGCTGCAGCAGCCGTGTTGGAAGTCTCGGGGATAGGGATGACAACATCGATATCCTTAACGGCCTCCTCACCCAGTCGAGCGATGATGTTGTCAGCCAACTTGATACCCTGGCGGTTGCGGGACTCATGGACGCTGATTCCATCAATGACACTGTCAGGCCTTGCAAAGTACACTTGATAACGTCAGCAAGTCCCAGCATCATTTCCAATACTGTAGCTTCTTACCGTATTCAAAGATGTCAGGGCTGTATGAAGCCGGCTCCTGAATCTGGTGGAAGACAGGAGGGCAGCCCTTCTTGAAGAGAACAGCCTGTCCGGGCAAGACATCGGTGATGTTCTTGAAGCCCAGCTGGCGCAGAGCAATCGACTCCGACGCGACCATGTAGTCGTAAGCGTCATCATCAGGGTTAGGAGTCGACTTGCGAGAACCCCAAACCAAAGGACGGATACCATCAGGGTCTCTAAACGCAACCACACCATAGCCAGCAACCATGATGACGCTAGCCCAGGCACCCTGAATGCGCTTGTAAGTGCGCTCGAGCGCGCTGAACAGATCCGTCTCGTTGATACGCGCCTTTCCAGTCTCATTAAGCTCGTTGGCAAAGACAGACAGCATCAGCTCACTGTCACTGCTGGTGTTGATGTGCCTGTGAGCGTCCTTGTCCAGGAAGGCACGGAGCTCGGCAGCATTGGTAAGGTTGCCATTGTGCGACAGGCAGATTCCATAAGGGCTGTTGACATAAAACGGTTGAGCTGTGATCTGCGTTAGCCTCTCAAAGGCCGTGAGGTGTCACCAGCACAGCTTTGTTCTGACCTTCAGCACGTCCACTGCTTCCCCAGGTAGGGTAGCGAAGGTGACCAATGCCCATCCATCCAGGCAAGTCAATGACCCTCTTGCCGTCCTTGAAGACGGTCGCTGCCATGCCAGAATCCTTGTTCATGAAGATTCGTCCTCCATAAGAACTGCCGGTGTCAGCAAAATCCTGCAATTGACTAGGCGTCCTTGAGGCTCCCTTACCTAGTCGCAATACCACAGGCGTCTTGGCCGCGGTGCTGAAGAAGGTACATGGCTTCATGGATGTCCTGCGCAGCGTCGCAGTTGTCTTCATCCCGGTCATAATGACCCATGCAGATTCCAAGAATTCCACACATCTTGCCTTGCTCTTTGCGGTATCTTGCAGGATATCAGTGATTCTCGAGGTCTATCCAATGCTTCCGCGTTCAAGGGAGCTTGGCAAATGTTTGCGCAGAAGGAACCAGCGTAGTTATGGGTGTTGGTGTTCGAGATAGCTTCGGTCGTGGGTGGTGGCGGGGTATCCGATGGCGGGGTATTTTTTTTTTAGTTGGACAGGGTCCACGCCGTGTTTTCTTCGTGTTTCGGACTTAGGATAAAGAGAGTCGGGGGAACGAGGCAACACGAGATCTTCGGGACGAAACAAGCCGGCCTCTTCGAGAGAGAGACAGAGTGGATTGGCGCTCGTACTTCGACGAGGGAACGGTGAGGCTCCAAGAGGGAAGAAAAATATTTTCGACAAATGTCGTCGGCGAAAAGCAATTGGGGTAGGAGCAGAAAAAAATTCCTCCAACAGTCGCAAACCTTCAGAAGGAATGAATAAGTGGGGCCGATTATCGGTGCTCCCTACCACGCGGTGGGAGCGGCATGTGCGGCAGGTTGTTGGTACTTACGCCCCGGATAAGGCTCCGTGTCAGCGTTCCCCGTGCTCCCACAGGGCACCTATCGCGTTCTTGTCGAACCCTTCTCTCCGCAGTAGTGGACCTCTTTGTTGGCTCCCGTGAACCGTTACTCCGGTCAGCCTGCATCTTGAGGGATTTCACCCTCCCACCGGTTCAACCGATGCATTCCGAAAGCCCGATGTGGTTGCAGGCTGAAAAGGGTAGGTCCAGTGACGGTAGCCACGTGGTGCATGTCCTACTAGGCCTTAGGAGATAAGCTGGAGGACATGGACTCCGTGAGGGTGCACCCTTAATTCTGGCCACATGCGGTGTAAGTTGGTAGCACTGAATCGTAGGGATTGATGGAGCTGGCGAGGAGAAACTAGCAAGGCAGTCATACTTCAATCGCCATCATTGCCAACTACAAGTCGCAATGTCAAGCAATCGTTAACACAGTCAACTTTCTCTAATAGTATACCCTACTAAGTATATATGGATTCAAACACGAAGCAGGCACTCTATCGTCTTGTTTTTACCATACTTTGTTGCATCAGGCTTAGACTTGACTCTTGTTCGGATCCCCTTCCATAGCAAGGTGCGTAGATGGAGTTGGTGGGTAAGAGAGCATTTGATTGAGACACGCCCGGAAACCACTCAAGGCGGTAACAGCCCTCGCGATATTTGGTTTTTGTCAATGAGGTTGAGTCTGCATGAGCCACCCACCCATCTTCCGGTTCCTTATCTTTCGTCAGAGACAGAGACACAGGTAAACGCTACTGTTTCGTTTGCTGGTTTCTTGGGCGTAACAAGGCTTTACATTCTCGGACCGTTCTCCGCCAAATGGTCGTTATGGAACTAGGCACTTACATTTTCCATGCCGGCAAATATCTCCCGCCTGTGAAAAGAAGGATCCTTGAGTGGGTGACTATGAAAAGTCGTGACTTGTGCAGATATGTGGATTTCCTCAAACCATCATTTCCCCGCCGGAAGTCGGTATGACTCTCCAAGCAGCGGTGAGGCATCTGGAACTAGGTCAGATGGTGCACCGATATCTTGATATCGTTGGCATCGCATATCATTTCTCTTCCAGCTCTATATAGGCAGCATGTGGTTTGTGTTTCTCACTTGTAGGTTCGAAGCCCTTGAGAACCACCAAATACCCAATCTATCAGCAAACCATAGTATATAAGACTGCGTGAGGTGAATCGTGATAGAGACTCGCAGTCTGAGCATCCTTTATCGGGGATGTTTATTTAAACAGAAATCGGCTATGAGCATACCCATAATTGCGAGCTCCATACAAATGCACAAGGTTTTATGCAACAAGTGGATCATATCCCGGCCAGACCCCTGGTCGAACGCCTGGTCTAACGGGCAGTGAGCACAGATCTGGTCGTTCTCAAATTGCCCCGGTTGCATGGTGCCCAACGTTCCTCCGTAGCTCGTCGATCAGCGTCTTTCCTCATCAAAGTCCCCTTCCAAGGATGACGGTCCCCTCTGGTCCCTCTGGTCCCTCTGGTCCTCTCTAGCTGCCAATCTAACGGAAAGGTCCGTGGAATTGTGAGGAGGGGGAGGGGGAGGGGAAAGTGATGAAATAGGATTCTCGTTGGGCGGGGGTTTGACAAACATCATTTCCTTGGGTAGCGAGGCCAAAGACACGTCTCGAGACGACGACGTCGAGTCGAAGCGAGGTGACACTGGTCAGTATCGCATTGCGACGTGCTCGGTCGGTGTTCAACTTGCTTGCTTCACCAATGTCGCTGTCGTCGTCGTATCCTCCGTGCCACGAGTCTGTTGCTTTGGCCGCATGTTTCTGAGACTTGGCGCGGTGTCAATCGCAGTGACAGTTGCATATACGCAGCGACGATGGTGTACGCACCCGCGTGCGCACCGCAGTGCGCCTGCGGCAAGGCGGCAAACCATTCCAAGCAACCAAACGTCCTGATAGCCTTTTGACTCTGTAAAGGCAGGAATCTCACATACGGTTGACGGTAACGGAGGCAATCAGGGGCGGGGGGCCTTGGCTACTGTTAGAGACGGCGCATACGCCTACATGTTCCAGACGTTTTCCATACTATGGGCCCATGCAATACTATCGATCATTTTTTCCTCGGCAGGCTGCGGCGGATTGCAGTGTGTCATTCGGTTTGGGCATCTCCACTGATTGTCTCGTTGCGACAAGCTGATGGTTTAGAACGAACGGGAGGAGAGCCTCTTTGCCCCATGAGCTCCGTTCGTTGGCATGGTCACCGGTGAGCTTTCCCAAAGCATCACAAGTTCCCTAGGTCCCAGAGTCCCAGAGTCCCAGTACGGATACGTAGGCGAGGGAAGACTGAAGAGAGGGGGCAAAGAAAAGCTCCATTGTCAGTTCCGGCTCCCCGTGTTCGGGTCGAGCTTGATTGAGAGCTTCGAGGCACGCTGAACAGGGCGCCCTGTTCTGGTTGGCGACCCCTTGTTGCCTCGGCCGGTTGGCGATGTGCGCCATCATAAGCCCGTGGTCGACTTCTGACCCAAGTGTCTGGTAATTGGGTATTGCGGCGGAGGAGAAATCAGCCGAGCGAGTCATCCTACATCGACAGACTTTTGTAAGTTGGTGGCTTCATCGGGGAGTTACTGAACGTTGGACGGCGAGTTAACAGCAGCACAGCAACGTCACCTGCTGGCGCCATGCATCGTGCTGTAGCAACTTGTAAGTGCAAAAGTGCATACGTCAGGGGAGCTACCTTTTTCTTCTTCTCGATACCTTAATCAACAAAAGATTGGCAAAGTGCTCTCGGTTCTGCGTCAAAAAGACCCCCGAATGCCACGGAGGAAGGTCCTGAAGTTCATCACCGTGGAAGCAGGTACAGTGCTCATGTAGCTCCCTGCCTTTTCTGGGCTAGAGCCGGCAGGAAGGCAGGAAGCGCCCTCCACCTGCATTCTTTCCCTTTGCGCCCAGCGCGACATGTCATCATCCGACATCCTGTCTCTCTGAGGCAGGAGGCAGGCAGGTACGGATGCTCCCCTCCTGATTCCCTTTCCCGCAACCTTCCCGCCGTGTTTCATCATTTCTCCTGGGTCACCAAAAAGTCAGCACCAGGCTGCTGGGAATCTGGGCTCGCCCATTCGCACATCAATGTCGAGCGCCAGCCTGCCAGGTGGGCTGCCTCCACGTTTTTTGCTCCCCTGTGCCTGGTTTTTCTTGTTCCTGACTTATGGACGTGCCCACACTGACGCGCTTCTGGCTACAGGACCAGGTTCGCACCGACAATCCCAACCCCGCCGACGTCGCCTCTACTGTCTATCGGAGAAGAGGTCCAAGAGAAGGAGGAGATAGTCGATTGCTAGCTACGCAGTATGGTTTCGGCTGATGTCACTGCGTCTCTGAAGATCGGATATGAGTGTATATCTCTGGAGTAGCTTGTTCGCAAGATGACATAATAGGCAGTTTGACGAGACCCAGACCCCCTTCGGCGGCATCACTGATACCCCATCCTCATTTTCACCACGAGCGAATCAAGAAACAGTTCCAGGCAAGCAGGAAGGCTCTTCAGGCCCGTTCCGCAGGCCCCGAGCTAAGGTAGCACTGGAGGGGGCAGGCAAACGAGCCGGCGACGAACAAGGGCACATGGCGGATACCAATAAAGCATGTTGGTACGAACAGTAGTCCGTAACACAACGTATGGATACTCGATACTCCGCACCGCTGGCTTGAGTTGAGGCTTGAGAACGTTTGGATTTTACTCTGCTTCTGTACTAGCAGCGTGTGGGTTAAGTTATATGAGTGTGTCGGCCAATGCAGAGGCTTCTTAACCCAGCGTCTAGGGCTCAACGGCGAGACATGAAACGACGAGAAACACCTGCACAATTCCCAGCATGCAGGGTGGGTGTTCGCATTTCCCAATCCCACGCGAGGTGGTGATGAGATTTGCAGATTTGAGAATGGAACTCGTACGCATTGCCACACCTACCCGTATTCTACGAGCTACCGCGCTTCATCAGCAGTTTATTTCACGGCTACCGCGATAGGCCCGTCACTACCTCAGGCTCATCTTTGAGTTACTTGGCCGGATCATCAGCTCTCCCCACCATTCGGATGCTTCCATTCGCCTTCTCTGCCCCTGGCATTGTCAACTAGTAGTATTCAATGATGCCGACGGCGTTGATGCGGCAGTAATCCACCAATGCAAGGCGGGCCAGGTACCGAATACCTCCCACACAGCCAAACGGGAAAGATGTGCTCCGGTACCTGAACATCGCGACGCTGGGATGCTGGACAGCGTAGTTGGACACACGGGCCTGGCATAAATGGCCCTAGTCGGCGTTTGCCTGCTGTTTCGGGGGCTTGTGCGAGCAGCCAAGGTCGCGCCAGATCCATCGGAGGCGCTATGTATGCACAAAGCTAAGCAGCTGGCCGTCTTCTATTTTGTGTTCTCAAAAAAAAAAAAAAAGCGACGTGGTACGGATACCGCCCGCGGTACCAATCCAGGCGTGAGGCCCAACATGCCTGCCAGTCAGTCTCGGGCAGCCTTCGAGGTTAGCATTTGGGCCCTAACGTGGCGCCTCCCGGCCCCCCGGCTGATCTACTGGTTGGCGTGGACAATTTCTCATCGTCCCCTTGCTTCTTACCTCTTTCGCACTCGTTCTGCCAGCCGGTGCCGCTTGCTGCACACCACACGATGAGCTGGCTGCTGCTGTCAAACTTGGGAGACCCGAGGGAAAGGAATAGTGCGAGAGGAACGCGGCAGCTGTCCTATGACTACCTAGGCGGCAGGTATCTATCCGTACGGTCGAAGCTGCTACACAAGCGCACACCGCTGACCTGGCTCGTAGACATCACAGTACAGCTGCGGGCTCGAACTCGTCACGTCCTGCCAGGTCCCGGGTTTGGTTCAATCGCGTCGATGTCGCGTTGCCAAATGAAGCGCCCTAGTACAGATACGTACCGATGGAACCCAACGTTTACCTACCTTACCTAAGGTAGCTCACCGAGATACCTCCTATGTATCCAGATAAGGTATGGAAGCGTGGGAGGTAAAGCACCAGGTGAGGTTGTGGAAGAGAGACGGATACGTACCTGAGCTACCGGCTAGAAGTCAGGTACGTACTGTGCCTGAGCTCACATCAAGGTGACCAAAAGTGACCAAACGGACGGACATGAGCTGCATCCACTTTCCACCTTCCCCGAGCTTGCGGCCCCCTTTTTCTTTTTAATCATTTTTCTCATTCAGAGGTGTGATGTGATGGTGATGCTTCCAGTCCATCCACCACTACTAGAAACACCAATCTGAGCTCGGTTTAATGGCTTGAATTGACAATTAGCCAGATTGAGACGACGAAAAGACACACTGACAACACAGTGGTCCTTTGCCCTGACATCGTTAGGAACTTGGACTTGGACCCCTCCGATCACTCCCGCCACCAAGAGACCCTTTTTCCTAGCTTTCAGGGCTTCCAAGTGGCACTAGCATTGGTGATGAGCAACAAGCTCGCGGCAGCTCGCCAGGTTCCCCTTTTCTCCTGCTCTCCATGTTGTGCGAGAAGTGGAAACGAGGCTTTATGCGCTTGAACCACTTGCACCATCCAACAGCGGGCAACCTGACACGGATGACAGCCTTTTCCCTTTCGCAGACGCGGGATGCAGGCACGCAGGACAAGGCCACTTTCTTTTTCACCTCTGGGTCTCCAGTTTCTTCCACTCAGATCCGGCGGTTCAACGTCTTGAATTCAGGGTTGTCTTGATCAATGACCGTCTCAACCTCAGCGAGGCTGGGGATCAGTCACTACCAGTTTATCTGTACACTATGATTCCCCTGGTTGCCGTTGTGCCCGCATTGTTCCCCTCCTGGTCCCCTACGACAGATTTCCAAGGTTTGCTCAGTTCCCAGGGTCTCCCTCTCATACTCGTCATCCAAATGGACGACGAATGCACTGGTATCGACCCGGACTCTCTACTGTGTACGTGTCGCGACGAGACGACACACACACACGCTCTCACGCATACATAAATGTACACAGGTACACAAATACCAATCGTTTCCTGGAGCACATCATTCACCAGACGACGAAGACCCCCGTCCCAGCCGGTCCCAGCCAGTGTCGTCGAATAAGGCTGCAGGATTCCCATCGCGGAGCTCCATTCTTGGACCTGGTTCCCCGTCTTGCCCTGCTGGGCGTGGCACGCTACATGCGCGTACCGTCAGGAACGTTACGGTGTACACTACTTTGGCCTGAGGTACTCGTCTCTGCCCACGGATAACGAATGTATGCGGTCGCGGCCTCACAGCAAGGTACGAAACCCAGGTACAAGATGTACACCACTTTGGCCCAGCATTAGGCAAAAGCTGTTTGGTCCTGTGGTTGTTTGGCTGGCATATCAAAACACAACACATACACAACACGCACATTGCATTACTGCGCAGCGCCGAGGTGCTCACCTCTTGTTCAAAGTTCCTCCTGCACGCGCCCCGCGCCGCAGAGGTATTGCTCCAATCCAGAGTTTGTGTCTTGATCCGCTGTTGAGCCGGTTGAAGAGGAGTCAATTTTGTCTGGGGCATTATCCAACGGCGTGAACGGCTTGCTCCCCGTTTTCCCACCCTGGTCGGCCGCACCGTGCCCCCTTCAACCGGCCGAGGTATTCTATACGGATCATTCTGTCCGTATCGTTCCTTGGTGCCCTTCCGGGTACATTCCTGCTGGCTGGTGCGGCTGGGATTCTAGAGTTTGGTGCTGATGCTGATGCTGATGATGCTGACAGTATTGCTGCCGTGGGCTTGCATGTGCAGAGTTGCTTCGCGGACACAGCCTGGTGTTATTTTCTACTCTCCGTCTTTTCTCGCAGCGTTCGTGGTGTACGATACTACGGTGGTGGTCGTGGTACCTGGTGATGCCGCCACTCGCAGCAAGTCTGCAGCATATCCCATGTCTAGGGCTACCTGATGAACATGTATCCGTTGACAACTGCCTCGAAGCGGATACATACCAAGCTCCATCGGGCAATGACCTCTACGTTTCTGGGCCATCACTGCCGACCGCCCCGGCCAGAGATACTCAGTCGGGGCTACGCAGTATGCCAGTTCATCAAGCATCGCCCGCTGCCCCATCAACTCACGTCCCATGAGTCTGGATTGGAGTGAAGATGGGTTGAAGGACCTGCGCGGTGAGCGACTGCGCATGCGCGGCGGCGTGCCCCCCGTCGTCTTCCCGTGCGACGGTCTGTATGTCAAGTTGAATACCAAAACAAGAGACGGGTCGACTGGTGTGGGCACGATGGAAGAGGGGAAGAGAGGAACAGACATATTAGACAGGCCGTGAACCGTGACGGCGGGAGGCGAGACCAGCAGAAGTTTGATTTTCCAATAATCCAATTCCATCCCAGGGATCCAAGCACCAGGCGCAGACGAGACAACCGCCGGAGAGAAAGGAACGAGGAAGAAGAAAGTCTACACAGCGGCCACTCGCAAGTTGCAACCATAACGTCCGAACATAATCAAACCAAAGGTCGACCCTGCAGCCGACAGCATCATCCTCTTTTTTTCTTGCTCTTCTCGATTCAGGTACGGATACCTGTCTGTCTCTGAAGTAGTTCTCGATCTCTAGACTCTGGCTGGTACAGTTTTGTCTCTCATCGCCTTGTCTCTCCTGCCTGCTTCCACTGGCACAGAAATACCTTCGAGAGAGAGAGAAAAGATACCTAACAGTTCGTACCTATCCCTACAGGTCAGGTCAGTCAGGTACCTCGCGCGCGCGCGCAAATACACACACCACTTTCCATTCTCCGTGGACACTCACACACTCGACCGTCCCTCTCTTGCAGGGCAAGAAAAGAGAGACAGACAGACACTGGCACAACTGGACACACACACACACACACGCGCGCACATTGGCACACAACTCGCACACAAACATTACAGCCTGACCCTGGTCGCTGGCCCCCCCTACCTAGGCTTTTTTGGCCGCCCCGGGTCCCAGGAGACTCCCAGACCACCACCATCACACCCCCCCTTGCCTTTTGCCTTGGACACACCCTTCGAGCGCAAATTGGCCCGCCAGAGCCAAAGGGCAAAAGGGCAAAAGGACTGAGAGGGAAGGGGAGAAAAAAAAGCACGACTGGCCCCCCCCGAAAACCATTAGCGAAATTGGGCCCCTATCACCAGTACCCTCTCCTTCTACCTTTCACCCCCCCGGATTCATTCGTTCATGCTAAGAACGGGCCCCCGGCCATTTCTCGAGTCGACGGCATAGTGGCCGGCTCCTCGCTCCATTTTACCACTTACTCCCGGTCAGTTGAAATCAATTTCCCTTCCATCTGCACTGCATTTCCTACCGCACTTTGCACGCCTGGCCTGTGGACTAGGGGTACCTATCTTATTACGGGAGTACCTCAGATCCCTACACAGAGCCACAGAGCCCAGAGGTTCCTTTCCTTTCCCAAGTTTCCCACCCCTCGTCCCCTCGTCCCCTCGCCCTCTCCCAAATCCTCGTCTTCGCCCATCCCGACGCGGGTCCACGGTGAATCACTCTGCTGGATCGTGTGTGGGTTTCTGCTCTCTATACGGAGTACTGCTGTGAGGTAACCGTACTGCGCAAGGTACCGTACCTTACTGGTGCCTGTCTACCTTACACGGTACCGTACCGAAAGGAGTACATACCTTTACACTCTCACTTTCTCTCACACACTCTCTTTCCTCCCCCGTCCCGTCCATCCACTCGACCCTCGTCACCCATTCATTCTTGCTCTCCCTTTCCACTTCCGCTCGGCTTCTGGCTCCCCTCCTCTCCCAAAGCTCCCTGACCCCTTCCTCTCTCATCTGTTTCTTCGTCCCTCTTTTTTTTAACAACCCATATGCGTCGCAGTTCTCGTCCAGCTTTTGCTATCCAACAGGCAGAGCATCCATCAACTGCCGTCCGGTCCGCGAATGCTGCATTGCATTTACAAGCAACCTGCTATTACTTGAACTGCATCCAAGCACTCACACCACACGCATTGCGCAGACGGGACAGCAAAGACTAAGGTCGACATCCAACAACACCACCACCACGGCCACCCAAACACCTCGTGCGTCGATGCTCATCTCTCCCCTCGTCACCAGCTTCATAATTCAACGCGGTTTCCAAAAGAGACCAAACCAACAAAACCTGGTCGCCCAACCCCCCTTCCACCTTCCAAGGGTCGCTTCCTCATCATCGCAATCTCGACCCACGCACCCGAGAACATCGTCTCCTCTGGATATCCACGTCTGAGGATCCATCCCCGATCGACTGGTTCTAGCTCCATTCCCACCCCCTGGACCCTTCCCTGGCCCTTTTAATAATATCGACCACCTCCTGGCTTCGCCCGTCCCTCGCCGTCTCCTCTTCTTCATCTGGTTTCGCTCTCTTGGTCCATCCCAGCTCAGTCATTCTCGCTTTTTTTCTATTTCCAACATCAACCTGTTCCCCGACCCATTACTCGCGACAACATCCGCACAAAGCATTTCCTTACTACAACTTTCAACACTTCTTCAACCACACACACACACTACCACCACCACCATTACCAACCCTGACTACTACTACTACTATCATCACCACATCACCACCAACAAACACTACCATACTGGAAAAGCTACCGGTCTGAATGCCACAGGTTTCGCAAGCGGCTCTTACACAGAGCTCCTCCTAGTAAGGCACAGCATTGGTACGGTCCAGGCTAATACGCCTGAGAAAGCGGCCTTGGCCAGCTGACCCGCCCCAGAAACACCGTCGTCACGAGGATCTTGACTGGAATCAACGATCACATCCACACAACAAAACTCTCACAAAATGACGGTCGCACACGAACTGGCCCACAGAGGCTCATCATCACACTCTGCCAACAACATGGCTCTCGAAGACCGATTCGAGGTCCTCAAGGAAATCGGTGATGGTAGCTTCGGCAGTGTCGTTCTCGCCCGAGTCCGTAGCGCAGGTGCTAGCGTGGCTCGTCGCGGTACGGTGGTAAGTTCCTGCATATCAATCCCGTTACACCACACCAAGTCACTAAAACATCGTTTAGGTTGCCATCAAGACCATGAAAAAGACATTTGAGTCATTTACGCCATGCTTGGAGCTTCGTGAGGTCGTCTTCTTGAAGACGTTGCCCAACCATGCCCACCTCGTCCCCGCCCTGGACATCTTCCTCGACCCGTACACTAAGAAGCTGCACATCGCCATGGAGTACATGGAGGGTAACCTGTATCAATTGATGAAGGCTCGGGATCACAAATGCCTCGACAACGCCAGCGTCAAGAGCATTCTTTTCCAGATCATGCAGGGCCTCGAGCACATTCACGCACATCACTTCTTCCACCGCGACATCAAGCCCGAGAACATTCTTGTCTCCACCTCATCCCACCAAGATACCGTCACTTCCTTCCGCAGATATTCGGCTCTCGTCACTCCCCCGTCTACGCCTCCCAATTACACCGTCAAGATTGCCGACTTTGGACTTGCACGCGAAACCCACTCAAAGCTTCCCTACACGACCTACGTTTCAACGAGATGGTACCGAGCACCCGAAGTTCTCTTGCGTGCTGGCGAATACTCCGCTCCCGTCGATATCTGGGCTGTCGGCGCCATGGCAGTTGAAATTGCAACACTCAAGCCACTCTTCCCCGGCGGAAACGAGGTTGACCAAGTTTGGAGGGTATGTGAGATCATGGGAAGCCCCGGAAACTGGTACAACAAGTCTGGTGCCCGTGTCGGTGGCGGCGAATGGAAGGATGGCACCAGGTTGGCCGGCAAGCTGGGCTTCTCATTCCCCAAGATGGCTCCTCATGCCATGGATACGATTTTGCAGCAACCTCAGTGGCCCGCTTCGCTGAGCCACTTCGTTACGTGGTGCCTGATGTGGGACCCCAAGACCCGCCCGACCTCAACACAGGCAATTGCTCACGAGTACTTCGTCGATGCCGTTGATCCTCTGAGGCCGAAGTCCTCTGCATCGAGAATCTTGGGCCGCAAGCAGTCCGATCTTGGCCGCGGCAACAATTCTAACTCATCTACCCCTACCTCCACCAAGCCGTCCTGGTTCAGGAAGTCCCTTATTGGCCGCTCCGAAAGCGCCGAAGTTGCCGTTCCTCAATCAATTTCCAAGGAATCAACCCCGAGACCATCCCCCGTTCCCTCGCAGACGACGAACGAAGTCCCCGTTGCAAAGACGCGCCCTGCTCAGTCAAAGCGCACGACATGGACGAACGGCCCATCCAACGTCGCACCTATGCCGATACTTCCCTCGATCCGCCCCATTTCGCCCATTTCCGATGCGGTGACTGCCGAGGCGAGAAACGGTGTGACCTACAACGATTCGTATGCCAACGGTCGCCAGCGCACGGTTCAGATTGATGAGAAGAAGAAGATTGGCAGACAATTGTCGGTCGCCTCAAGCACTAACAACTATGCCGAGATTCACCGCCAGCAGGCCGAGCGAGCCCTCAACGGCAACAGTGGCCTTGCGTCGCCGCCCGGTGGTCACAAGGAAAGCTTCTTCTCGCACCTCCGTAAGCGTGCCCGTCGTTTCTCTGGCAGGCATCAGGCCCCCATGTCACCCAACTCGGACGATGTCGAGGCTCAGGCCGGCTGCGGCCCCTGGAACAGCAACCGGTCCTCGATGGTGATCGATAACAACGCGCCTACTCCCCCGCCGAAGCCTACGGAACTCTACGAGCCTCTTGATAAGGCGTTGAGAGACGTCCAGCAAAATCACGACAACGCTCCCGTCCCACCGGCACACCTCATTACCCCCAGCAGCACTCTGAAGAGACATCACTCTCTGCCGCAGCACCACCCGCGCTCTGTCGACAACCTGATGGGAGCTGCCAAGGGAACCGGACCGATTTCGAGCCGAACCCGTCGTGCCCACGCCCACGGTGTCCAGCACTACGACGCGCCCGATGAAGAGGACGAGCTACTCGATGAGGTTTTGAACTCGACCCACCGAGCCATGAAGCGCCTTGAAAAGGACGGAAAGCCTGGACTGCGGCAGTCTGCCAGCAACATTGGCATTTCGAACCCGTACCCGACTCCCTCTCCTTCGGCCAATGGCAACAACTCCGTGTTGTTCGGCGACAACCACGAAGCCGTCGCACCCAAGCCTTTGGATCTCAAGAAGTCGCATGGCGCTGAAAGTCAATACAAATGGCCTACTCCCCCGTACGAGGAGAGTGAATGGGCTGCATCGGCGTCAGCCAGCATTTGGGCGGCTAGCAATCGGTTTTGAGGCGGGGGGGCTGCCTCTGAAAGAGATCTTCTCACAGAGCTGAGCAGATACCATCGCAAAAGTTCTTTGTGTAATCACTTGCATGGGATGGGTGTTTGGCGTTTGCCGGTGTACCGTTCCCGTCCTCCAGGTTGGAGGCGAGTTCGACTCCGGATCTCGATTTTCTTTTGCCCAAGATGTTTTGGAGCAGGGTGGCATTTCGACTATTCCACGATATCTTCGATACCATAGGGCGGCATCTTCTACGCCATCGCGCAAATTTCTATTTTATTCTGCTTTTTTTTCCTTATCGACTCATCTGTTTCGAAATACCCGACACTATAGACTGGCGGGGCTGCCATCGGCGCCCTATACCAAAGATAACATTTCTTTTGTTTCTGGGACTCACACGGGCGAGGAGCGGCAGTCTCCCAACCGGAAGAAAATGGACACGGTCCAATAGGGACTGGGGACAAGATAAGGGAGGGTCAAACATGGTCACACATTTCTGTACAAGGAAGGACAAGGGCATAATATCTTCTTAGATTCTCTGCGGGCTGGACACGTCAGACGACTTTGAGGAAAGCCAAATCTGGCCAAAGGATGCCCAACGGATAGTTTGTCATATATGGACCGCGGAAAACACAAATGGTATACATATGGGCAACCCTGTCAACGCTACTCAAAGGCTGAGTCTCGCGATTGTTTACTCGATCGCGCGGAAACTATCATTTTTATATTTGGAATTTTTGAGGATGAGGCGGAACAAAAAAAGACATATAGTCAACAGAGGTGGTGGAATGGAAACTGTACGTAGGCGGACGAATTTTTCTTGGAAGTCCTGCCATAACCATACTACATAATATCAAGATGACATCCAAGCGATGTACATCGATTACGAATCACGCTAATAAGATCTTTTGCCGTGTGACATTGTGAGAACGAGGTATGTATGTCTGTACACTATGATGGCTATGTCTATGCGTGTCAGTGTAGGATTGGGAGCATGTGAATGAACGTTGAGCTTCGAATTGACTCTGGGCTGAACCATCGGACGGTTTAGACGCGCGCGCGGGTGTGGCGTTGGTTTGGCGCTTTTTTTTTCCCCGGCCGGTGAGCCGGCCCGGTACGGATGCGCCAAAGGTTGGAAGCAAAGAGGCGAAGCTCCTCCCGTCGGGTCAGGTCAATTCTTTGTCTAGGTACCTAGGTATGGAATGCCGGGGCTGCGAGCTGCGGGCTGTGGCGAGCTGAACGAGAGCAAGACAGGGGGAGGACCGTGTTGGGTCGCACACTGCGCAGTCAGGAACGGAAAGAAGTCCCTTGGGCAAGTGCGTCGGCAGCCGGCGGGATCTGCTGCTGCTACTGCGGCTCCTGGTCTATTTTGCTGCGGCCTGGTTTTGGGGGCTGGAGGATGGAGCTGGTGCTGCGTGCATGAGGGCAATGGAAGTTGGCATAGGAGGTCGAGCAAGGAATGGGTAGAGCGCGCCAGGGCGTTCGAGGCTGTGTTTCGATGGGGCCTCAGTGTACACCATTCAGAACACGGAGGCGACAGTTTTGTGTTTTGCGTTTTCTTATTTTGAGGTGATTTGGGTTCTTATCCGACGCCTCGCCCTGGTGCCATCCGTCTTGGATTTGCAGAAGCGAGGCGGATGAATGGTATGTCTTGTCTCTATACTGTCTTGGGTGGAGAAGGCAAGAATTGGTCTCTTCCCAAATTTTGAACGAGGCCAGTCTTTCTCAAGCTGCTCAGAGTGCTTCCGCATCGGTTCTAGGTGACTGGCAAACATATTCCGAGAGAGGCTTCTCGTGGTAATAGCTGGGCGCTTCTGAACAGTGCGGGTATGGACTAGATCCGGTATAGATCAAGGGCTCTGATGAGGTACAAGAAGCCTCCGTAGAATTGACCATGTCAGGTTACACGAGTCTGTAAGCACCTGGGAAAGACAGTCGAACAATCAGACAGATCTTTCCAGAAGTTGGCTTTGCGGAATGCCCTCGTCCACCAGTCTATCTACCACCTGGTTCTGTGACGGGGCCTAGAAGCGCCTTTGATGGTTAAATTTGCTTTTTCGCGGTCCCTCGGCGCCGTCTCTTCGGCGTTCGTGCCCGAGGTCGAGGTCGGCAGCTCCACTATATAGACTCTCCTCTTGTGCTGCGAGTCTGCGTCTGACAGAGAGGAGTGCATCAAGGGCAGACCAGAAGACAATGAGGTACCTTCAGTCGACATGACGACGTGCGATGTATTGCGAAACCGCCCTTCGTCACCGCATACGTTTTCTCGTGAGAAAGCCGATCAACAGGTGCCTGGAAAGGCCGATCTTTTGGGATGACTGACGAAGCGCACTACGACGACCTCGTCCCAAGGTTGCGTGCCAAGGATGCGTATCGGGAATTTTCTCCCGGCCTCGGGTACCGACTCGGTCCGGGTCACATGATACTGACCGCCTCTCAAGACTGGACCTACCTCAAGGTAAGGATTTGCTTACATCAGCAAAAGCCAAAGCACGGTACTTTCTCCAATTACCTAGTGTCGCCCTTCGCCTCATCGGCGCAGAGCCAGTAGGGAGTGCTGGCGAACCAGCCCAAGGACACGCTTTCAGCCCTTTTTACTGCGCACCGGGCAGCGAAGGACGTTGGTGGGGCAGTGTTTGCCTGCTTCCTTCCTCTCTGTCTCTGTCCTTCGGGCTCGCCCTATCCTTTCCCACCCCCAGCCCCTCGACGTTAGGCTGGTGCTTGAACCTCAGCTACGGAACCTTGTCAACCAGCACTCGACCAGCCAGCGCTGTCTTCTGCTTCATCTCATTCCATCCTTCATCAAAGGAAACCAGGAACTCGATTAGGCAGCAGAATACCCGTCGGGAGGCTTGAGATCTACTCACGCAGGGCCCCCTTTCAGTCTTCTTCAAACGTGGCCCATGTGGACATTTCTCGTATCGACCAAGAATCCAAAACTTTTGTCGCTTCTGCTCCGTCGTCATTACTGGCGGGGTGTCATCCTCTGCTCCTGGAGCTACTGGACCTCGCCAACTCCCGACGCGCTGCACTGGGCTGTCCAGACCCCAGACCTTTGCTGTCACCTCCCTCCCTTTTTCCAACCAGCGCGCACCCGCCCACTTCAGGACTGAACCCCTCCTCCACCATTCCACAACCCCCACGATCATGTTCCTGTAGCCTTGCTTTGCTGTCCTGAAGAGACGACCAACGCCCGACTCTTGTCTTTTTGCGCACGATTCCCGACGACTTTGCCATTGCTCTCGTTGATCGACTTTTCTGCTGGTCCGTCTCGCCCCCCTGCCGTAGGTCGCCAGCGAGGGCTTGTCCCGTTCGCTTCGTTTCTTTTGCTGCCATCGGGACTGCGTCCGCATAGTATGGGTATGAGCGCATATCCCAGCCGGATATTGCCACCATGAGCTTCAACCTCCCTCTCCGCCCGAGCTCCAGCAGCATACGGAACCAGGCGAGCCGAAGCACCTACTTTAACAACTACACGCCCAGTTCCTCTACCGAAGCCATCAACGGTCCCCTCAGGGAACCTGCCAGGGAGCTTTTTGGCACCACCGATCGGCTGATTGTCGGCGTCGATTTCGGAACTACATTCTCAGGGTGAGTCGCATCCATCCCTATGCAGCCTCACTTTACTTTTCGAGCATCTCAAGTGTGACCCTTTGCCTGCCTGAGCCAACGCCAACTGTTGCACTCATTCTTGAACCCCTCACTCCTTTGATGCTCCATGCGCACCTGTCAAAGCATTGACGGTGTTGCCCGAGCCCTGTCCACATGGGATGACATGCTGACACTCACCGTAGCGTCGCTGCTGTTTACACTTCAACGCCAGACGATGTCGAAATCATCAAGACATGGCCGGGCGGCAACGGCATCACCTCCGACAAGGTGCCTACCGAGATCAGCTATGACGTTTCTGCGAATGCTGCCGCTGGCACCGATCCCACAGTGAAATGGGGATTCCAATTCAAGCCCGAGGAGGCACGTCTTCGCTGCATCAAGCTGTTCCTTGATCGCTCGCAAAAGCTACCCTTCTATGTCAGCCCGCTCGATACAGCGGCCCAACTGAAGCGCTACAACAAGAATGTTCTGGACGCTGTGAGCGACTATCTAACACAGGTGTATAAGCACACCATGGACACTCTTACTCGAAGATACGGCGAATCTTTTATGCAGTCCACCAAAGTCGACTTTGTCTTGACCTGCCCCGCCGTGTGGTCCGATGCAGCGAAGAATACGACACTTCAGGCGGCTGAACGAGCTGGCATGGGGCTGAAATCAGAAATCCAGATGATCAGCGAGCCCGAAGCCGCGGCGGTGTACACACTAAAAGCCATCCAGCCCAACCATCTCAACGCTGGTGATAACTTTATTGTGTGTGATGCAGGTGGCGGAACTGTCGAGTAAGTTCAAAGCGTGACCGATAATCGATTCCGGGAGCACGGCTAATGGTTGATCTAGTCTGATCGCGTACAAAATCATATCATTAAAACCGTTAAAGGTAGAAGAGTCCGCTGTTGGTACCGGTGGTCTTTGCGGCAGCGCGTTCCTCAACTACAGGTTTGAAGAGCATGTCCGGAACAAACTGGGCCACAGTCGTTTCGACGAGATGAAGGTCAAGAAGAACAAAACATGGCAAATGGGCCTGAGGTATTTCGAGGAGTTTGTTAAACGCAACTTCAACGAGGACGAGCACCAGGAAGTGAACGTGCCGTAGGTCTATCCCTTGATTCTCAAAGTCGAAACACTGTGAAGGAATCTCCTAACTCGGTACAGATTCCCAGGCTTGCCTGACGACGAAGAGGCTGGTCTGGACTGCGGCTTCATGGTCATGTCGGCTGATGAAATCAAAGAAATATTCGCCCCTGTCGTGAAAGAAGTTTGCGACCTAGTCCAGGGCCAGGTCACTGGCATTCGTTCCAAGGGTGGTGTTGTGTCAGGCATCGTGCTGGTTGGTGGATTCGGGCAGAGCGACTATCTGTACCGAAAGCTCAAGACACACTTCACAAGTGCCGCACCGCCTCCGTACACCGAAAGGCCAACGCATGGCAGCGTCACTGCACTGCAGGAGACGAGCTCGATCGAGGTCATGCAGCCAGTGTACGCCTGGACGGCCGTCGTGCGCGGAGCGGTGCTGCGAGGACTCGAGGGTAACATGGTGATTTCGCGCAAGGCGCGGTACCACTACGGCACATCGTACGCAACCGTGTACGACGAGGAGAAACACTCGGTCAGCGAGCGATACTGGTCGCCGCTGTGGGAACGGTGGATGGTGTCGGACCGGATGCAGTGGCACATTGCAAAGGTGAGTTTGTACCGCTGTCCTTTACTTGGCTTCAGGAGACGAATACTGATGCGATCCTTTTCAAACAGGGAGAAGCAATATCCCCGTTATCACCAATCGCATTCCATTATACCCGAAACTTCAGGCCTGGGCAGTCACTGTTGGTGACGGACGACCTCATTGCGTGCGAGGCAGACGAGCCGCCTGCTGCCTATACCCGTGATCTAATTCATGTATGCACGTTGACGACCGACCTCAATGCTGTGCCGAGGAGCCTATTCACACGATTGACGACAACGCGTGGCGTGGAGTTCGACAACCTTGACTTCACACTCGAAATGATTGTTGACAGCGCCGGTCTAGGATTTGAGCTGAAGGTGGACGGTGTCAGGTACGGACGTGTCGATGCCGAGTTCCATTGAGCAATGGACGAACCATGGAGATGTATCCGTGGACGGCGACGAAAGGACGGAGCGTGAACAGAGGGAACCCAGACAAAAGGCAGAGGCGAGGGTTCTCAAACAGGAATCTTGGGCCATAAAGTGAGTACGGGAGGGCAACCCATTCTTGTGGTCCTCCTCGGTATCTCGTCATATATATACACATAGTTCACGA